CTTGCAAAGATCAGAAAAAGCAGGCAATATGTGCAGTACCATAGCTTGAAAGCAATGATGTGCTGATGCAAGCCATGCTCGGACACAGTGATTTGCAACCTTAGAGTAGAGGAAAAAAAGGAGCTTTTAAACTGTAACACCTAAGTGAAGGGGAAAAATACCCCACCTTGGACATACTGTTATATAAAATTAACAGTTTTTAAAGCCACACTGTCATACACACACACACACAAAAGAGCCTGTGTAAGGCATGTCAGGTGATACAATTCAAAGAAACTATTCTTATTTGATCATAACTTGGTCTACCCACTAGATATACATTATTTATCCCTTTATTTTTCAGCTCTAGCTGAAGATTTGAATGTTATCACTGATATGAATCTAAAAACCAGAGTTTTTAGAGTGACCTTCAGCCTAAGCTCCTAAAGCGTTATGGATATTGCCCTACTACACACAGTATTTAGATTCCATAGTATGGCTTTAAGGCTTAACCCTACTCCATGAGAAAATACCGCTGCTGTCCTATTAAGGATTGAAATTAAGTCACCTCAGCTATGCCCATTTCTATCTTTCAAATATCTTCACAAAAGAACAAGAAGAGTCTTGCTTAAAACCCTCAGCTAATTTCTTCAGTGCAATGAAGTGGAAATGCATACTAAAAACACCTGCTAATCTCTATGCTTGAAATGACAGTTAAGCAAAGCAAAGTTATTTTCAGATTTTACCACTGGGGTGACTGTTCTGCAGGAAAACATGACTTGGCCTCATGTCTGAGCTCTTGGACTGAACTGTTTTCTATTGAAGCCTGAACGACAGTTAGGCACTCTTCATTGCATTTAAGTAAAGAGCAGGCATCCATCCAAACAAAATTAGCATGAGAGGGAACAAGATACTTTGCAATTGTCTCTCTCTCAATAAGCTGATAGCCTTAATTCTCTTTCTAGAACACTCTGCACAGAATACTGCCACATCTTTTAATTCAAAGACAGTAGGAATTTTAACGTGACAGAAATAAAGGACTGCAAGTAATGAATCCCAATTTCAGTGACATCTACTAGCAAATTGGGTATAAATTCAAAGTACCCTACCTCACGCTCACTGTTTTCAGCACATTGGGCCACTACATGCCTCAGCTGTACCCAGTCATAAGTGCCAATGCTTATCTTGTCACCATGACTTTGTACTTCTGAACAGTCTCCAACAGAGGCATCCAATTGTAACGTGACTAGTAGATGTACAAGTCAGGATAAAGTACGAATTAACATTTTCAGTAAACATACAAATAATTTATTTAAGTCAAAACTCATAGGTACAAACAAAATATATAAGAAACAATAAGTTCAGAAATTTAAACACTTGTAGAAAACATTAACTGTACCAATTTAACTACCCACTGGTCTTCACAGAAAATGGTGAGAAGCAGAAAGACAAATCAATGCCTAATTGTTCTTTTCTTTTTCTTTTTTTTTTCCCAGATTCTAGTTTAGAGGTAGAGTACTACTGGTGAAAGACTCAACAAAACTTAGTTCAGGAGAATTATGCTACAACTGAATTTGGCCCATCTACTTATAACTGTAATGAAGCCATAAAAGAAGTTTCTTATTGTGAGCTCCTAATTCATACAATAAAATTTGGTGTGGCACTTTCCAAGAGATAAAGCACCTTTCTTGATGAATACTGTTTTATGGTTTTCCATAACCATCAAGGATCTTGTGCTTTTTTTTTTTTCCATTACTGAAACAATGAAAGCATTTTAAAAATAGGCAGAAAAGGTCCTGACTTTTTGGCAGGTATATAGAAAGCAAACTTTTTTTTTCCCCTCCAGTAACTTATCCTAGTATGCCAAACTGGGAAAAACAAGATCCTGTAACTACAAAAGGAGACTTTCTCAGAGACTTCAAGAACACTTGATGTTTGTTTATTTGGGTGGCACAGTCCTCAAAATAAAAAGAAAAAATGTTAATAAAACAAGGGAAAATAAAGTGTCTCTTCCATTAGCTTAAAGTAGGGGGAACTGACCACTTTAACATTTTAGTGAGTGACCAGTTTAACTCGCCATTCAGTGAGTCCCCACTAAATGCTACAATTCCATCCTCTCAGGAAAACGTATGTGTGAGAGATGCACTATAGCTTCAAATCCAGTAAAAAGTAACCAAGTAATCTCAAAGGAATGTATCTTCTACTTTTGTTCAAACAACCTGTTACAAGTAGAGACAAAACTTGGAATTCTTCAGACAATATTTACAAATTCATAAAAAAAAAAAAAAAAAACCATTTGCAAGTTCAATAACATACAACATTATTCCGGGGAAAAAAATCATATATACAGACAGACTGGCTGCTAAGTGCATTATTTAAATTGCCGCATGCAAGTAGTAGAGCCTGTGGTTGTTTAAGGAACTTAAACATAAACAAACTGTTAGACTTCCACAATTTAGTTTAGCAAAGACTTTCTCAAGTATTTGCTTTAAGATAGTTGTGTTCTAGAAGCAACAACATCAGATTTGGAATCTTAATTGCTTCTTGCTTTGTGGCATAAGAACACTTCTGAAGATGTAAATATGATAAATCCCGATTTAGACAGCCAGTTCACAAGCACTCAAGTTAAGTAAGACCCTGCTTCTTTGAAGTAAACAAAAGCAGAATCAGGCCAACATTCAGAACCTTCTGAATATCCCATCCTTGCAACACATGCTTATGTTGTTTACAAAATAGCACCACACAGGAATAGTCATCACAATAAAATGTTAGTCACTGCATTCATTCAGCAGCTAAATGTTAAATGAGAAGTATGAAGAACAGAGCTGTGACCATTAGAGCACATTTCATGGAAGAAGGCAGAAACAGAAGTTTACCTACTTTCATTAACGAAGCATCGCCTTGTGTTTTTCATCTGAGAAGTTATTTAAACACACAGAGAAATCAATACAATCCAAATACCTTAAACACAAACTTGAAATATAAAATGTGAGCATGCCTGCTTCATTAATATTCTTCATTAATGTTCTACTTTTCAAACTACCATCTAAACAGTATCTATCAAATATTACATAGAGTAGAAAAATTGCATTCTTCATTACATGGAAGATTGAAATATCTGTAAGCTATAAACATACTTGGTAGAAACCTGAAATAACAATCGTAAGAGAGTTGATGTTACCATCAATAAAGATTCAACCTGAAGTCAAATATAAATGCACTTCCAGCTTCCTCCTTGTGCCCACCTTCAAGAGAGCAGGTAAAAGAGTCATGTCTGCCACAGACTAACTGAGAGAGGTTTGTATGTGCCAACTACCTCATTAGGGACAAAAATCAGTTGGGTCAGTTTATCATTCTGAACAGTCAGTCTGAGCTACGTGTAGCCAATCTTTACAAAGCAAATTAATGAAGCACTTAAACCGTACTCGCAGCAGAGCAGACATTGCCTGACAAGTAACCATTACAAATCTCTTCCATCAGCACTGGAGGGTCAGTCAGTCCACGGCAGAAACACAAGCTTTCCTTCTACAAAGTACATTCTTCTGTTGAACGCGAAGCTTTGCAAAAGCAAAATGCTGAAAGACATACAATATTAATACAGGAAAATTTCTGGCAGGGATTTTCATATACCAGGCCTTCTGATTCTTTTATCAAATCTCCATCATGTCCAAAGGAAACTGTACACTGCTATCCATGGAAAAATACTACATACTTAGATGAAGGTAACTTACATACACAAACAAGAGTAAACTATGTATTAAACTACTACATTCCTATATACTGATTCTTTGAGAGCACAAAATGGATTTAAAAAAGCCATTTTTTAAGTACACATCAGATTTGATTACTTATTTTTCCACTGAATCCCTTGTAACGTCTTTCCCTGTATGTATTGTAATGGCCAAGATGAAAATATTTTAGGCACGTAGAAATTACTTTTAACTCTATAAATACTAATCCAAAATTTCTTTCTTTGATTCATGTACATTTAGGCAACTGATCTTATACATAAGAAATTTACTTATCAGTACAAGTTGTTGATATTTCAAAGCTTTCTCAAGAGTAAGACAAATCTGATTATATGTTGGTACACATTTTGCTGTCTCTTCAAAAAGCTGATTTTGGATATAGAGGTTACAAGTTAAAAAAAGGCAATGGCTGACCTAAGCATTACTTAAAATCAATCTTCTTGCATTTATAAGCCCTAATAATAGAGAACATGTCAAGAAATTCTAGGGTTTCCATAAAATATTAGTTTCACCAAGTTTGCATCCTTTAACACTTGCAAAATTGAAGTTGTTCCTCCTCTAATGCTGCAGAGAAAGTGACACTAATACAAAGTAGCAGAATATTTATGGCCCATCAGTATCTTCAGCAAGTGAAACATTTTCATCCAACAGTGCTCTAGTTTCTCCCAGCTCTTGCATATGCTAATCCAGCACCCTGCCGCAAAAAGGAGCTTGTTCCTTATGCCTAGCCACTACCTTCAGAACCTACAGTTCAAAAATTGCTTCAGGGACAGAAATAATTTAAAAAAAAAAAAAAAAAAAAAAAAAGTTATGAGATCTTTAAAGGCGCTTATGGCATCTTTGTAACAGACTGATGGTCAAGGAGCCAAATCCTATGAAATGCAGAGATCTCCAAGCATGGGAGATGCAAATGCATCTTGAGAACCTTCCAAGGACAAGGTTATGGCCAGCAGCCTATACATTACTTTGCACAGCTAATTAGATGCTGTGATACATTCACGCGCCTATAGCTCTTTCAATACCAAAGCACGTATATCCTAAGACCTAGTTATGAATATGGTCATACCACTAATACGCTGTTAACTAGATCAAGTTAGAAAAACAGCAATTTAAGAACATACCACCTTTTTTTTTTTTTAATGCTGTCACGTATGCAATGAAGTCAATTGTCAGCCAGACTGCAATGACAACTCTCTTGAGAAGTTAGTGCCCTAGAACTTCTGGGAAATAAAAAACCAAAAACAAAAAAAACCACAAAGATGATGGCTACTCTATATGCAGAGGCAAGCTTTATTCTTCCAAGGTGAACTGCACCACCGGGCCAATGGCTGGTAGAACTCCAATACACCACTTATGTTCTAAATAAAGGCTGCTTTGAGGCCTCAAGTGGATACTGGCCTCACGCCAAACTCCTGAGTAGGGGTAAACTTCAGCTCAGAACCTAAAATAGACAAGCGACCAAAGCTTTTACAAAAATTAAATTATGATACTGTAACATGGCCAGAAGAGTCACTTTAGAACAGCGCTAGTTGATTTCAAGGACGCAGTAGCACCAGAAGTTCATCTCTGGATTCGAAGTGTTGTTATATGCAAACATATTTGTATCTGTACTTGTACGATTGGCACGATTGATCTCAAATTAACACCAGCAAATTGTTGAAATACTTGATTTTTCTTGCACAGTGATTTTTCTTACACAGTATTAGCAAACCTAACATACCCCTAGAAGTCATGTCAATTTTTATTTTACTAGCATCCGTTACGAATTGCTTGGCAGAGGAAAATTCCTTTTACGCTTTTGCTGTATACTGAGAAGCCTAATCTTTTCCATTAAAAAATAAAAAAATAAAAGAAAATTAAATGGGCTTGGGCAAAATACAAGTCCTATTGCTTGCAGAAAAACAAAGCAAAACAAACAAGAACAAAAACACCAAGAGAACTCAAAGAATAGTTTTAAATCATGACATTTGCTTTTAATATTTACACCTGTAGGTAGGAGCTGTGATCAAATACACGTCTAGAAAGCCATGCAGATCTGAATCCCAAAATGACATTAGCAGCCTCGTGGAGGCAAAACATGTCATCGAGTCAGCTGCTGTAAGCCAGCAGTTTAGTCTTGGAAACTATGTTCCCAGATACATGCCCTTTTGAAACACTTATTTAGTAAAAGGCTGCTACTGGTTCCACTTTGTGTCTTACCTGAGAAAGAACTGGGAAATTCAACCTCAGGGAAAACAAAGGCCAAAGTTTGTTTGAAGTTTCCTAAGGTCTGACTCCTCTAAGTCCTTGTTTCAGAATCCATGTAACTGATCAGATTCCAAGCCAGGAACTTCAAGTAAAAGACAAAAAGAAGTCACTGCCTTGGACACTGGTTTCATGGAATGAATATTTGAAACCCTGACTAAATTACTCTCATTAAAGTCAAACAACTGCTTTCATCTTTCTCATCAGATTTAATCCACAAATGCACACACACTGTGTTAACTGTTTGTTTCCATACTGTTTCTTTCTTTTTGTGAAGTAAGGACTTAGTCCTGTTTTCTAGAAAAATCAAAATCAAAAGACTTACTAACACATTCACTGTAGTGAATTCACAGTAAACTCTCTCCTCTGCTCCCCAGTCTTCAGAGTTAATTTCAAGGAAGCAAGTTACTAGTATATCAGTTACATGGTTGAAAATAAAGTGCATAATGATAGTCACTGAGAACTTCGGTGATTTCATGTTAGCACAGTTCACAGCAGTCCTCAGCAACATTAATAAAATGCCATTAAATATTGTTAACATGAGTCCAAAAAAAAAAAAAAAAAAAAAAGAAAACAAACTTAAGCACACATGAAAAATAAATTTTGTATAAATGAAAAAAAAAAGAAAAAGAAAGGAAACTGAAATTGAATCCCTAGCCCCTGCCCTTAGTGGAATTGATCCTACTATACAGCTATCCCAACATGCAGCATCTGAAATGAAGAATCACAGTCTGTTTGCTTCCCTTCACCTATTCCTGAATTCAGCTTGCAGCTTTCTGGTGTCTGACTCATTTCACTTCGTGCTGGCGAAGATGTACTTTGAGGGAGATCTACAGAGAGCATGTCAGATGAAGAATCTCGGCTCTCTGCTGAAACAGCAATTTGTGGCCAGCTACCCTCTGTTTCATCATCGCAATTCGTCCCTTCATCTGACTCTTCCAGCTGCTGAACAGATTTCAAATACTGTTGTAGGAGTCTGTTGTCGTGCTCATTACTAGAGCTCTCTCTACTTTGTCCACATTCCCCATGGCCCTCCTCTACATCTGAAGAATATTCTGAATTATTATTGCCACATCGTTTGACAGTTTCCACCGAAAGAGAACCCTCAGTTCCTTCTGTCAAACTCTTTTCAGAGCTACACAAGTCACCAGTGTGAGTTTGATCAGCCATAGAAGAATGAAAACCAGAATCCGGGAACTGTAACCAAGACTTTTCCTGAAGAACATCACTAGCTGGAACTAACCAAGCAGAACTAACATCTGGTGGGGTTTCTTGCTCAAGAGTGGATGCTCGAACAGATGGTTCAGGTAGACAGGAATTACTGGCTGGAGGGATCCCCGGTTGCCAAGCGGCACCTGCATTTTGTGTAACAGTAAGCTGCCATTGTTGAAGGGATTTAACCTGTAAAGTATAAAGAGAATTTTGTTATAAAATGCAATTTAAGAAGTACTTCAGTCTGTAGAGTACTTCTTGCAATCTGCAACAAAATACTTGTATAAGATTTAAGGTCAAGTGAACTGACCAACATGTCACTATATTTTTGGGACAAAATATTCTTCCCACTGTTAATAGCTTTTAAACTAGACACCAAATACAACAGAGCACACAAGCCTTCTGTTTCACGTAAAGAATTTATTTTCCTGAATAAAAAGGAATCTGCTCTAAAAAGAGGAGAGGAAACCTTTAGGATATAACCCATTCTTAAGAAAACAGTCAGTTTTTTAAGATCGGCTTATTAAGAGATGTGTTAATAACTCACCTACTTTAGAAATTAGTTGCTCAGAAGTGACACAGCTTGATGCTGTTTTATTTGCCCTGAGCATCTAGCAGTCACATCAGTCTTCAAGTCTACAACGCTTAGTTTTCTTTCAATTTTCTCCTTTTCATACCAAGCTGTATTTTAGCATTTAGTTACAGAGCCAGTTTATTGTCTTAAAACTTCTGAATATAACTTATCCCCAGAACACTAGTATAGCCAAAAACATGTCAATAAGATTCTCATGAGCCGTAACTGGAAGAATGAACTATATTCACTGTCTCTTTGGGATCTCCAGTATGAAATACCTTCTCAATCCTCGTGTAAGCAGAAAAATAAGAAGACTGAAGTTATTTACCTGGTTCCAAAGAAATCTGACAGCTTCTTCCTGTACAAGCCTTTGAATCTTATCTTCCTCTCTTTCTTTTCTAAGCCTGCAAGAACATACATCCAAAGTTATCTAGATTAAATAACATTCAGTAAACAAGATGAACAAGAAAGCACAGAAATAGCTGGTTATAAGACTGAATTGTTGAAAACAATTAACGTTATTGCAGTCTGTCTTGTCATCAATAGCCAGTTGTTGAATTTCCAGCACACATTTCTTTTTCAAATTTACATTAAGATTGTTCCTCCCTTTTGCTGTAGCATATTTATTGAATTACTAATATCTTAGGAGCATTATTTATATAAAATTTATATCTTACATATTTAAAAACTTTGGCAATGATCTCCTCAAAACATGGATCCATATCATCATAAAACTCAATCACATTTATGATTGTATCACACAAGACAGAGGGAGAATCCTTCCAACCATTGACAGAGAAATGACTCTATACGGACGCTTAACAAAGAAACTTTGTAATTGGCATAAGACAAGTCAAAAAAACATTCTTTACTGTTGCTACTTTGATTGTGCAGCAAAACATGCAAGTCCGGGCAATAAAGGACTTGAAAAAGTTGATTCTAACCCAACCCATTCATAGAGGGCACTTTGAGAGGATGAAAAGCTATGTGCAGACCATGTACATCTTACAGGAAGTGTTCCTTAACTGTAGCCATTGTTTTATATTACTAGTGCTAGTTTCTACTGTGAATAGTTAGACCCATTTATAACTCTTCTGAAATATCCTGGGGCAACGTTTATATTAATTCAGATATGAATACCAACAGCATGATTGCAACTTACATTTCTATTTCATTTGTTAAGCAAATTATGTGCTCTTGCATTCTGCTTAGGCGAATTTCATATCGCACTTCTTTGGCTCGGGGATGAAAGTTCCTTGTGTAAAATCCCCTCCAGCAGGCTTGAAGCTTGGTAGCTGCTTTAGTCATTCTTTGCAGTTCAGCTGCACCTTCATCGACAGCAGGTAGAGAACCTGATTTTTCTCCTGCCACCTGGTCAGGACAGAGAGTTGTAAATCCTGATTCAGCACCTAGTGAGGTGCTGGGCTGACCGTGCAGAACTTGGTCTTCAGAGGATGCCGAAGAGTTGCTAGCATCAGCCTGGTTAGCTGTTACTGGATCAGAAGATGGTACCTGCACATTCTCTATTATATTCTCTTCAGTTTCCACACTTCCCGCCACTTTGTTAGAGTGCTCTCTTGTAACCCATTTTTTGTCCTTGTTAGCTGTTTCTTCTCTATTAACACCTTTCACAAATTCACTAAGTGTACTACCATCATCTTCTAGGCCCAAACTGATCCCATGTAACTTCAGGTCTGAAGTAGGAGACACCGGAGACAATCCTGAAGCAACTGGCATGAAAGTAGACTCTGACGACAACAGGCTGCTGTTGAGTTTGTCTTCATCAGTCTGTATATCTTCAAGGTATAGCTCCTTGTGACAATCTCTTTCAAGAAGAAATGTGTTCTTCACTGCATAGGAATGATCATCATTCGCACTTGGTCCAACCCAACAATTCTTCTGGATGACACGTTCTAGATAGGTAGAAAGACATATTCAGAAGTCATAGTACTTCAATAACACAGTTTCATTTATAGGGATTTACATTTTATTTTAGATAGTTATAAACTGGGTGTGTAAGATCCCAAACGCTAATCATGACAAGCATTACTTCTACATAACAATAATGATAGTAGCTATTCATCTCAGCAACATCTATGAGCCTCACAAATGAGTAGAGTGAACTACACAGACTGCCTTCCCATGGAGCAGTTACTCTTTGATCAGATGGAACAGCCAAAGTAATAACATTTTCATTTACTGGAATGTTGTTTTGTTTTGTTTTTTACCTAGCCATCTTACTAGCATTTCAAGACATGAATAACCACAGAATGTATTTTTAGAGAACAACTTACAGCTTCAGTTGAAAATCTCCAAAAAATAATAGAATAAACTAATAGCTGGGCCTCATTTCAAAATTCTCTCCAGAAAGCTATCTGCGGTCAAAAAACATTTGTTTCTACCGTTAGATCACGGGTGCAGATTTACGTCTTACCACTTTCAAGAACTATCTGTGGTGGCTGTGCTGGACTGCTCTGTTCGTGAGTAACTGGTTGCGTCTTGTTGAGAGTGGGAGATGTAGGTGGTCCTTCATTTTGGTTTTGATTCATCAGCTGCCTCTGGTGGAGCCTAAACACAGAGTTCCAACAGATCTTATGTTTCTTTTTAATTTTCTTTGATATAGAAGGCATCTAAAAAGCTATCAACTACTTGAAAGGAAACAAGCAATCAAACCATTCTAAAACAAGAGGCTAGTTATACAGACTCCTACACCTACTAGACATCAATAGGACTACTCACAAAGCCAGGGTTTGCACAGGCTGCTTCTGTTCCCCTTCCTTCTCCCTCTTTGTTACTTACAACAAACAAACAAAAAACAGCATGCAATTCTGACTATCAACTGAAAAAAAAACACCAAGTATCTCTACACACAAGCAAGGTCTGCAGATACCTTAAGTGTCTGCTGCAGGACATGTTATGTTTGTATGTGCAAAGAGTTTGAGGAACGGAGGGGGTCTTTTTTATGTTTGAAAATGACTAAGTCAAGAAAAGGGTATCCCTGTACCCTAACACAAAAATCAAGTAACAGTGTTGCCACAAACATATAATCATCCTTTACAATCTGAGAAAACACAAAATTTATTTCAGTGCAGCTAAATTCAAAGACCAGGAGGTAGACATCAGAAAGTCAACTGGCGTTAAAAATTATGCGTGTATATATTTCTCTGAAATGGCCCCTACATGTCTGCAGTTTCCTCCTGAAGATCAATCTATACTGACAAAGCAATTCCTTCCAGATGCTCCCACGTTTCCAGCCCTTTTGGATGAAATAATGCAGTTCTCCTTATACAGCTTTCTACCCATACTCTATGACTTATTTAGCTTGCTCCCCTGACTCTTCCACTCTAATGTTTTAGCAAAAAAATTGTCAGTAGTGGTCCTGGCAAACAGTGATGCCTGTGTTCTTAAGTATTCTGGGTTTTAATCCCAATTAATTCACCTCACAGGAGCAAAGTGCATGACTGTAACTCACCACACCCACTTGCACAGTCCCTAGCAAAATAGCTCCTGATTGCAGAACCAGCAGGACCTATTGTGGCCCCTGATGACAGAGCCAAGTTTCCAGATAAAAAAGCTGTCGAGAGCATCATCAGGAACAGTGCCCCTCAAAGGACAACCTTAAAAGAACACACTAATAATAAAAAGAAGAGGCTAGTTCACCCATGTACTACAATAGTCTTTATTTACAATTAGAACAACAGTCAAATCTGCTCCTTTTTGAGGATTTACTCATGGTCCCTGCAACAAACATCCAAGTAGGTAGCCTATTTTAAACGCAGTCCTAACACAAACCACTTTCAAGACTGACTCTAGGGCACCCGGCAAACAGGAAAACACTCCTGCTGCTGTCTTGCTCCTCATCCTGTACCTCTGCCACTCTTCCATCTCCTGCCCTAACTGTTGCTTTGAAACACTTGAAAGGAAATGCTATTGTATCTAACATAATGAGACATACAATTGTGTTCTCAATTGCATTTTGTAACAGAAAAACAAAAAGTTCTCACCTTTGCTTACTTAGTATTTTTTCCAGTTTGGCATCTTCTTCAGTCTGGAGACCGTATGTAGATATAAGAGGGCAAACAGTAGCTAAGTACTGGACTAACTGAACATGCTGCCCAGGTCGATATGATCTTCCTTTACCTTGACTGTAGAGCCATTCTGCTTTTAAACTGTTAGGAAGGGAGGAAGATGGTTACAATTAATGTACAGCACACTGATGTGTCCTGGAGTACTGTTCTTCTACAAGCTAATCCACAAACCTAACCAAGACTTCGAACATGAGCAGTGCCGGAGGAACTGGGATTTTCATTACCAGAATAACGAGTGAAGTATTCCTCACATAAACATTGATGAAATGAAAAAGTCTCTGACAAGCACTGTGCATTCTATTTTATCTGTGTACTCTTTAAGTGTTTTGGTTTTATAACCAAAATTCAATTTTTTGAAATTATCAGCAACTTTAACAGAAAAAGGAAAGATCCCACAAATGCACAGAATAGCTACAGAGAGCAAATCTTGCTGAGGGTCTCCAGCCACCATCTGTTTCTCAGTTAAACTGATGATGGTCTTCAATCTGAGAACTCAATATAATATATCCATATAAAATAATACAGAAAACCCCATCAATAATGAAAAAAATTAGAATTGCTACAGGTAGCTCTTCAGGAACTTCGTAATATTCATAATATGCACTGAAACAAACAGGAGTGGTTTCCCTCTGACCAAAAAGGCAGCTTTTTATTTTACTAACTTGGGAATAAGATAGTAATATCTTGGACTGTCTTAATGTATTGAACTGGAACATGTTATACTTGATGATGGAGATATTTTCAGGGAATATTTATATGGCTGGACTATTCTGATGTCAAGAACTTCAAGAAAACATCTCCACTGTCATACAGACATCAGTGATATAATGACTGCAGTGATACAGTTAAAAAAAAAAAGTGAGCAAAATGATATTTAACTAATTGACAAAAAATATATACAAATCAGACCCTTTATAAAAGGGCATGCCTGAGCTTCTCCCAAGATAATGGCTTCAATATTTGCCAATTGTCTCATTCTACAAAATCAAAGCTTGTAAACCTGAGAGGAATAACAGACATCATTGATGAATTGCTACCAGAATTTTGCTTTTTAGAAGTACTAATGTGAGTGAAGTAAGGAAACCAAACCTTAACTTTATAATTCTATTTAATTGAAGGTGTGATTTTATATAGTAATACTAGTGTAACCAAAATAAAAAAAGAAAAAAGCGTTAATTGGCTGGGGTCTCGTATGGCCATTAGCTAGACAATTTCAAATCATTAGCACTTTCCTATTTTTTATTATGTAAAAATTGAACTTCAGCTTACAAAAATCTTGATTTGATAATTTTAGAGATTTAATAACATGATGTTACCTTTCCTTCTGAGAAATTACATATCCATCAAGAACTTTAAGGTTCAGACACCAGCTGACAATATACGGCCTGTAGTCAAAGCCAGGGATAGAAGGTGTGGCCATCACACAAGGATTGTTCATTATTGACAACTGTTCCAGTTGAGAAAGAGAAGCCAGGAAAGAAACCTGGAGAAAAGAAGATACTTGTCAACTAGAGGGAACCAACTGATTACAAGATGTACCACATTTGCCTAGTTACACTATACTTCTTGCTCAAAACAACATCATTACAATTACACTGAAAAATCACATTTTCTTGTTAAAACGTGAACATCTTTTAACGGACCTTCTATCAACTCCTGTCATTTTCCCATTAACTTTCCTGTAAGTAGTATAGCCCTTGGGAAGCATTAGCTTCTCTTAAAATCTGGGAATTGGGCTTTATGTATAAAAAAGGTATAGTATTCCAGCTTACTGCAGCAGGTATAGAGATGTCGACAAATCAACAGCAAGCTGAAGAGCTGAGAAACACTGTCCTATTTTGAAGAAGAGACCAATGCATTACCAAATAAGATTTTTCTTCTCATGTGGAAGACTAACTGACATGTTTTTTTTCCTTATATAAGGAAACAAAAACACCATGCACACAAAAAAACAACAAAAATAACCCAATAAAGATAAAAAACACAGTCCGGATATTCATTTCTCTTACATCGTGTTTGAATAAGAGATAAAAAGACCATAATCTAAACAGAGCAGCTAAGCAGCTACAGAAGCCATCTGCAACACTTTATCAGCTCAGTTTTCGACCTTCAGACAATCATGGCAAGCTCTTTGAGAATTTTCTCCTCAAAGTTTAGACATTCTGACATCCCTGATCGATATATGAAAGCACAAAATAAAAAAGGCAAAATTTCTTTAAAAAAATGATTTAATAAAGTTAAATTACCAACTTGTGCAGCTAGAGCAAGCATAGTTATTACACAAAGTATTAAAGGTTCCTATCTTTTTCAAAATAATCTATGCTGAGAGTCCATTTCACTTACATCCTCAAAAGAATTATCCAGCTATTTCCTATCACTCTGCTTGAATACAAGGTGGTATCTTCTACATCTTACCTCATTTAAATCTCTGATTTCATTTTCTGCCAAAGAAAAAACAGTCAGATTCTGAGGTAGGCAAACAGGGGCAGTACGAAGCGAAGTTATAATATTTCCATGCAGCAACAAGGTCTATGAAGTAAAAATATGGTATTAAAATGCATGCTTGATCAAAAGAACAAACAAATAACTTTTTTTCCTCCAGATAATACGTTCACAATACACACTGAACAAAAGATAATAAAGATAATAAAGGCTGTCTGGCATCTTCAGAATCGTTTTTGCTTATCCCAGTGAGGGCAAATTTGTTTTTATATTTAGAGCAAAATTTCCTCATGAAACGCAGAAATTAAGTACATAGCCATGGATACAAAAAGTGTAGCTTAAAATATTTTCTTCTATGCAGTGTACACGATGAAAGAGTTAACACTATGTTTTGTCTTGATCCACATCACAGGACAAGAGAACTGAGTGCTGTAGAAAAGATCTTACCATGTTATCTTAATCAAAATCATTAGAGTAATTACAGAAGCACTACATCAGTTTCTGCAGCTTGAAAACAACAAGAACTTAACATTCTTCCTTCTATAAGTTAGTGATTAAATTAAATTGTTTTAAGAGCTAGCATGTTTGAATAAGAAATGCTTTTAAAAGGCAAAAGTTTTCAAAGCAGAATTCTTTACACAAAGGATTTAAGAACAACAGAGAAAAAACAACTACCTTTAGAGACAGAAGCTTGGAGAGATCTCCCAATTGAGATATGTTGTTGTCTGACAAATCAAGATGCTGAAGAGATACACAGGAATTGATTTGTTCAATGGCCTACAAAAATAAGTCAGTTACAATACCTTTTTTAGTCATGAAATAGAAACATATGTAAAAAAATACAAATTATTTTGGAAGCTAACAGCACTAAATAACTAAGCCAAAATAAGAACTTAGTTTTTTTGTTTGTTTGTTTGTTTTCATTTTTTACCAGTTGAATTTTAAAGATGATATTTTTTTTTCCTATTTTGGGGGCTACCTTCCAATTCTCATTAAATTTTAATTTCAAACCACCTATTTATTTTTATCCACTTGCCAATTCTTGTCCAGAAGTTGTCTTCTTCCACAGACCAGGGGTCACAAAGATTCAACATTTGTTCGCATTAAAACCAGAAGCAGAAATGAACATTTATTTGCAGTGAAATGAAACGTTTTAAGGATTGCCTTTTCAGTGTTTCCCAAATTTCTACTACATTACATTCTGGAAAACGTGTAAAAGGCTGAGTACTTTACCTTAAGGTTATTTCCTGACAAGTTTAGCCATTCCAGATGCACCAACTCCTTCAGCCCTTCCACATACCCAATGCTATTATGAGGCAAGTTTAGCACCCGGAGCTTTGTCAGTTTTGCTACACCCATCATTCGTACCAAACGATTGTTGGCTACAGACAGCTGCAGATCAACACAAATAAAAGAAACATTTTTAACTACTAAAGTGCACAGACAGAATAGGCTTTTATTTTTAGTGCTTAAAAATCCAATCCAATGGGAGCTACTCTAATGTATATATTCAAATTTCAAGCAAATAATACAGACAAGAAACTACAAGAGACAGGCAATAAATTACTAATCAAAGGAAGTAGTCCTCCCAACTCTGCAAACTTAGATGAAATCTTAATCCTAACAACAGCTAATAAAAAGAGGAGAATAAATAAGGAGACATCTCATATGAAAATAAGCTTTTAAAATCAGAATTGCTAAATCATTGTATAAACTGTTGTAATGTTCCCAGTATAAAATCATACTGTCACCGTGGCAAAGGGCAAAATATATTTCACTGTTCTCAAAAAAACCTGTTGTGCTAACAGGACTGTAAATCACAAACTTTTAAAAGGATAAATCCAGATTAAAAATACCCTTTAATAACACAGCCATAAAGTTGGCAGACTAGTGAGGGTTTACTGCAGCAATAACACCCACATCTCCAGTGTCAGTTTATCTTGGCTGTAGAAGCTGTTTAGGTGACTTCAAGCCTATTTGGAGGCACTTTTAGTGCTGGTTAACAGACTTGTACAGCCTTGTCCCAGGGGCATTAACACACTGATTTTTGCAAGCACGCTTACCACTGTTACCACTAATACCCCCAGGAACCTAAAAGGAATGTTTCAAAATTGAGGATATTACAGTTTGGGATAAGCTCTAGCAACATCAGGGCTTACATGACTCAATACATTAACAAGACAACAAATCTCTCCCACTTCACATTTTTATATTTTCTATTTGATTGTTAACCTAACCCAACTGGCTTGTTTCTTCCTGTAAATGTTACCAATACTCTTCAATTACAAAAATGTTACCAATACTCTTCCTCTGTGAAGAGTTCTGAAACCCAAACAGGGAGAGTCCTGTCTGTAGGTCTGCATGTTTATCTTTTTTTGTTTGTTTGTTTATTTAAACTACAAAGTTGTTTTTTTGTTGTTGTTGTTACAAAGATCAAGCATTCCAAAGCTAAAAAGTATCAAAAAATCAGAGTTCACAGTGACCTTTCTAAACGTTAACACCATCCCACTAGGATTTATTTAGTTTAATTTTAGCTACCTAAGCAACCAGCAGAACAGCCTTCCCTACCGCCACCTGCAGAGCTACACTGAAAACAAAGCTTTCTATTTCAGTTCACCGCTGTTTATTTTTCCATGAAGACAGTAACGGATGACTTACTTCAATTATATAAGGTGGCCTTAAAGCAGGAATACTTTAGGTGGTATCTCAGTAACATTATTTTGTAGCACATTAAATTCAAGTAACACTGACCTGCATCAGATTCCTGCATTTTTCCAAGTGCTCCAATTTAATTATCTGGTTCTTGTCCAGAATCAGAGTGTGAGTATCAGCATCACAGGGTAAGGTTGGACCCAGCTTTTGCAATCCTTGACCTGACCAGTTAACTACCAAACCTTAGAGGAAAAAGAATTAAAAAAAAAAAAATCAAACAAAAAGAGAACACAATGAAACTCAACACCTGATATATGAGAACGTGTACTCAAAGTGCAAAGCAAGACAAATTGAACTGTTTTTATAACATATGCAGTTAATTCATGGATACAAATGACCTTTTCTACTTAGAACTGAAGCAAATACATTAATTCAGGCTACATATGTTGGAAAATCTGATCCAGTTATTGAAAGATGGGGATTCTGCTCTTTGTTCCAGTAAAAATCTCTAGTGCAGTTTTGGGAAGTCAGTAGCTTCAGACTCTCTGAAGTGGGATGCAGAGTGAAAGTTAGGCAGCTATATTTAAAGGTGTGATCCTCAAAACCCAAAATTTCAAAGACAACTATACTCGGATTTTGTCAAAGATTCCAGGTTTTGAGCAGCTTGATAACTTCTTACATGCAGGAGCTCTCTCCCTAAATTCCTGCTTACAGACAAACCCAGAACATGCCAAATACACATAGGTAGGATCACACCCCACCCATAGCAGCAACAACACCTAAGAAAAATAAGTACATTACAGCAAAAAAGGGAGGGAGCCTGACACAGTGGTAAGCAGCCTCCACCCTCTAGTCACTAAGAACATAGGAAACCCTACAAGGATACAGGCCAACAAACTTCTCCTTCCTGGACAGATTCATCAAACACCCCACTACTGTATCTGAAGATGACGGCACCTAACCCATCTACGTGAAATTTCCACAGTCCTCAGCTTGAAGCAAAGAAGCAGCCTTATCACAAACAGGTCCTCTAAAAGCTACAGCAGTGAATTGAAGTCTAGTTTCCTCTTTTTCTCCTTTTTGCTCTATTTCAAAGCAAAAATATTATTAGTCTGCACCATTTTTTGAAAATGCAGTCTAGGCACAAACTCAAAAAGGAGGTTTCAACCTGTGAAACCAAAATTGGCACCTCTCTGTTGTCACAAGTTGGGCGCTTAAACCTCATGGAAGAAATAAACTTAAGACTCAACTCCTCTTTTAAAAATCTCCATTACACATTTCAAGACACACTTCCTTTTAGCGGCTTGGCTACTGCAAAACCTACTCTTAAGTATTTAACTATTTTATCAGGTAGTGAACACGTCCAATGCGAGGCCAAAGATTCCACTCCAGGACTTGAATGTCCAAACCATTCAGTGCGTCTTGCCAAAAGGTTTTGGTGCTTGTATGCGTGATGATCAGATGAATTTTTAATCTCCCTGCGTGGTACCTAGTGAAAAGCCAGAACCCAGCACCCGCCCATACAGCCATCCTAGAGACCAGGTGACGTTCAGGCAGGAGCAGATGTTAAATACGCCAGCATGGCGTTTAACTGACAGAACACAATTAAGATGCCGGCTGTCAGGACTGCTCCAACACAGAGCTAAAAGCACAGCGCTGGTTATTGGTTATCCGCAGGGACCTGGGCTGGCTGCCTCCCCGTGCTGCCCCCTGCCCACTGCCATCCCCACACCTTTACCCCCTGCTCTGCCCCCCCCGCGGCACCGCTCGGCCTCCCGCCGAGGCGCTGTGCCAGGCCGTGCCCCCCACAACCACCCCCGGGCCCCTCTCACCGCCGCTGGGCGCCGCCCCGGGGGCCGCCATGTCCCGGCCCGTCCCGCTCGGCTCCTCCCCGCCTCAGCCCCCGCCGGGCCAACGGCCGAGGGGCCGCGTCCCGCCCGCAGCTCTCGCCCGGCCCTGCCTCTTCCTCCCCGCCCCTTCCGCCCGGCGCTGCCTCCTCTTCCGCCCGGCCGCCGCCCGCCGCCGCCATCATGAAGTAAGCGCCGCCGCCGGGCCCGGGATGCGGCCCCCTCCCCATCCGCCGCCATCCGGCGCCCGGGATGCGGCCCCCCGGCCGCCATCGCGCCCCGGTAACGCCTTAACCCTTCTTGTGTCCCTGCAGGGTGGAGCTGTGCAGCTTCAGCGGGTACAAGATATACCCCGGGCACGGCCGCCGGTACGCCCGCACCGACGGCAAGGTGAGCGCCGCGCCGGGCACGGACCTAAAGATAACGTTAAAAATAACCTTAAAAATAAAGTGCTCCTAATTAGTGGCCTAAGGGGTATCAGCCTAACGCAGCGGTCTCGTACGGCATCTCCTGCGAAATGACAGCTGAACTGGGCCCACTGAACCCCCCGCTGATCTCTTTAGGCCGTATATAAACTTAAAATCAAACAGATAATAACAAATTAATCCATTAATTTCGTAAGAACGCGCAAAGGATTGCGTGTTGGTCTCTGGGTGGTGCTTACATCAGTTTCTGATTCCCTTCATGCGTTCTGGAAGCACGTAGCTAATGGAGAGCAGGCAGCTGGAAAGTGTCCCAGGGGATACAGGTGTTGGCACTGCACCTAGAATGCACTGCACACAGGTCGGAGGGTGAGTTTCACTCAGAAAAAACAAGCTGTTTATTCTGTCAGGAGAAGAAACATCGGAATATTAGGCCTTACTGAGAGAAAATTAAATGAAGCCTGAAAAATTTATTCTAATGGATGAGGTCCCTTAATCTAAGGAATAAAATCCCACACGTTCAAGTTACTAAATTGTGTTCTAAGGTTTAGAATTGTTAGGTGTGTGAAGAAATAAAAAAGTATCAGTGTTGTAAAGCACTAAATCAAATAATTATTTAATATTCCAACATAAGTGACAGTATCTCTCATAAATGTAACATTTACACAAAATACTCTTTCTTTTTTTTCCTCCTCTCTCTAGGTTTTTCAATTCTTGAATGCAAAATGCGAGTCTGCATTCCTTTCCAAGAGAAACCCCCGTCAAATCAATTGGACTGTCCTCTACAGGCGCAAGCACAAGAAGGGGCAGTCAGTAAGTATATACCATCGAACGCTTCTCTGAAGTGTTCCCCCCAAAAAAGTGCAGTCACAGGTCTGTTCGAATAGAGGTAACTTCAGTATGCTGGTGGTAGCAGAAGCACGACCCATATGACCAGAATAAAGTGGTCAATAATGGTGAAAGTGTGGATGTATTTATACAGATTTATATATTGTTTTATACTTGGAAGGTAAATAGTTCAGGAATAGCATTAGATGTGTATTTTATCACATTTTTGAAGGCTTTTTCAGAATGGGAGTATTTGTATAATAACTGCATGAATGGTGTATATTCAAATTTTTTTTTATAAAGCTTTACATAAAATGGGCAATGCTGTTTTATCAGTGGACTGTTCAATTATTTGGACTCATAAACTTTCAGAGTGGTGATAGCGTAGAGAGCTGCTAATCTGGTAAATCATATTCCCAGACAGATGATTTGGGGGATGATGGTTGGAAGAACGGTTCACATCAACTTTTTTTTTTTGAAAACTTTGAGTTATAACTAGTAGGATGTCTTTGCTATGGAGTTGTCATTGGATAGAAGAAACGTGGCATGTTGATACGAGGTATTTTCAGTGCTCATGCTGAAACTTGTACAGCAGAAGAGCAGTTAGAAAGGCTTATGTTGACTCTTAACACCGACCAGTTCACTTAGAGAAAGAAAGATGATGCTCAATGGCTTATTAGTCTGCTTTGGCAAATCAAGAAATTACATACAGAATAATTTTATTCCTCGTTTTGGATGTATGCAATTCTGTAATAGCTTCATGCTTAGCTGCAGCTTGTTGCTGTAATTGTATTTAGCCTTTTACTTCATGTCTTAGGATGCTAATTGTCTTCATGTTCTGTCACTTTAGGAAGAGATACAAAAGAAGCGTACCCGCCGTGCTGTTAAGTTTCAAAGGGCTATTACTGGTGCATCTTTAGCTGAGATTATGGCTAAAAGAAATCAGAAGCCTGAAGTTCGAAAGGCACAGAGGGAACAAGCTATTCGGTGAGACAGCAGGGTTGACTGGAGCTATCCCTGGCATTTTGGAGATAATTAATGTAACTACAAGAGGTGTACAAGATCTTGAACTGTAGCTGAGCTCTGTATCATAAGCATTAAGAGGGTGAGGGGGATCAGTATATTTGGAGGTAATACTGTGTAATCTCAGCAAAAAATTCATAACAGCAGAGAGGGGTTTCTTCTTACCCTCTCCCTCTGAAAATACTGCTGCTGTCACACAGTTCTGTTGTCTACATGGTAGTCTTTCAAGAGGTACTGACTATAGAGTATAAACCGGAAATAATGCATTCTGTTCTTGATCTTGGGGAGCTCTCAGCGTGACTGAAACAAGGAAGCAGGGAATGGCAGGCATGACTGTCACTTGTTCTCTGTGAATTAACAGGGCTGCAAAAGAAGCCAAGAAGGCTAAGCAGGCCACCAAGAAGACAGCTGTTTCTGCTGCAAAGGTAAGATGCAGTAGACGGACAGAAACCACAAAGTATTTATCTGGAATATACCAGGTTGTAATGCAGCACTCTTCCCACACTTCACTGGAAATTCTCAGTTGTGTTCAGAAGAAGCATTTATTCACCTATTTGGATCTGGAAGCACGTGGATCAAATTTTTGTACTGGGAGTTACAGCTGTATGAACAGCTGAATAGAACAAAATGATTTTTCCAGAAAAAGTAAAAGTTACAGTAAAACCACTTTCTGATTAGATGTCAGAGATGCCCAGTGGCTTAAAAACTTGCCTAGATGTTACACTAGAAACTTGGTAGCAAAATACTGATGAGAGCTACCATACGCTTCATTACTACTTATTATAATACCAAATGTTGGCATCATACATATTGGAGGCTTCCAGTGTTTGATAACAATCTGTTAACTCTAATTCTAATCTGATTGTTAAATTGCCTAATTTCTGTAAAAATTCTTAAGTGTAACACAGGGACACTTTCAAGAATGCAGATAAACTGCATCTCACTCGTGTTCTACTGTTTCTCTACAGGCTCCAACAAAGGCGGCGCCGAAGCAGAAGATCGTGAAGCCAGTCAAAGTGTCTGCTCCCCGTGTTGGTGGAAAGCGTTAACTTGCCAAACTGTTACCTGTGCTGAATAAACACCTGACCAACTTTTATCACTTGTGCCATGTTCTCTTCAACTGTGTGATAGATGCTGAAGAAAATTAAGGGATAATGATGTATGCTTCTGCAGACTAATCAATACACCCGTGCCATTAAACATTCAGTTTTTTAGAGGATCTATTGTGCTAGAAAATAAGTCTTTAAATGAATGCAGTGATTCAGGTGGCAGGGAAGATTGAGCTGATGTTTGAGGAGCTGTTCTTGCCTAAGGACAAAAACAGCACGAGTACAAGCTTGTTCTGCATCAACACCAAATGTCTTAAAAATAAGGTTTTAAGGTTGATGAGGCAAACTAAAGGGCTGTGAAGCTTTACAATCTCTTAAGTTACATAAAAAGGTAAATACGCTTCTTGCATTGTGAAGCAGATAATTTCGAGATGTAGAGAATAAAAAGAGAAATGGTTTCAGATATTGAATGGATGTTTCACACATCACATTGCTCTTAAATGCAAATGTTGAGATGCAATTCCTGGGTCCGGAACTAAAACCACTGAGGTGCTGGAAGCCTCTGTCAGGAACAGGAGAGTTTCTAAGGTCCTTCCTCACGCTCTGCCTCAGTTAAATGGGTTGTTTGTCCTAGTATGACCATTCTGCAAACATATTCTAGTTAGTTGTACTAAAAACATTGATAGTAGGTTGACTGAGCTTAAAATGGAGCTGACGGTATGCATTACTTCAAACTCATTTAGTCTCATAATTAACATCTGGAATGCAGACGTGGGTTCCCGTAGTCATTCTCTTCCACTCCTAGAAGGTGTGGCCATTTGTTAAACGTTCCATGTAAAGGATGCAGCTCTCCAATCCAGTAGTTAGGCCAGGTAGGCAGTGTTCCCAGCCTTTCCCTGAGCTTTGCCGGGCAGTAATAGCCTTAGCAAAGGAATGTTCTTTGACTTCCTGGAAGCAAGGAGAAAATGAACCTTCTCTCTTTGTTTTGGATCTCAACTGATGCCACATGTAAGACCTGCATGCACTTAATCCAAAACAATATTCCACTTGGCAAATACCCACTTCAGGGCCTGTAAGGAGGAGGCCTTTACTACAGACAGTTCAGCTGTTACAGCTTTTGAAAATAAAAGCAGACTACTGTTTGGCTTTCAACACTGTTGCTAGCTTACAGCTCCTTTAAGGGCTTTGTTGATGTTACTACACTAGCTAAGGAAGAAGCTCTTTATCATACTTGTGCTTCCTGTGGTTCATTTGGACTTAAAAAATACAACGAAAGTAACGTGCTTTAGGTTATGGATTACATTTTGAGTTCTATCATGCTTGGTTTTCATTAATAAACTAAGTTCCAGTCAGATGGAGCTTGCAACCCAATTAAGTAGTTTCAGCGTGATTGCATCAGTGGACTGGTATCTTTTTGAACAATTATTCTTTTTACTATCAAGAGCACAGGAGCTGCTCATTATTTTGAAATAAATTGAAGATACTTTCTAAACTGGTTAATAGTCTTGGAAGGAGCTAGAAACAAGGGAAGGAAAAATGTTCCATGTTTTTACTTTAGGGAAAGGAATTTTTAGTAATTTATGAAGGCTGAATATACCACTGAAAGTTGCCTGTGTTAGTGATGACTACACACAAGACTGGTACAATTTTACAGGATTTAATAGTGGTATTGAGTAGCTGGGACACTACATACATGCTTGTGAAAGTTAGTCTTAACATATGTTAGTCTTAACATCTTGCATATGAAGTTCCTCAGTTGAAAAGCAGAGAGAAGCTTTTACAAACAATCTGTTTGAAATACCAGTA